GGCTGAGGTTAAAACTTGGCAGCTAGATTAGGTCCAATCTAAATCTACACAGCATTTTTAGACTTTGTTTAGGAGAGAAAATCATTAGAAGAACTAGTTTAAGTGTAACAAAAATATTAAATGCAAGACTACCCATCTTGTTCTAAAAAATGCAAAATAAAATTCTTTAATTACAAAAATTCTGAAAGTGGTAAGAATTTTCAGAAATCACTAACCAAGAATAATAAATTACTGCAAAAATACACTAAAGAAACTTGAACGTCTTTTTGCAGTAATTTAACTGAAAGGTGGTGTTCTTAAAAGTTCAATAGATTTAAAGATGGTGTTCTAAAAAGTTTGATAGACTTAAAGATGGTGCTCTAAAAAGTTTAATAGATTTAAAAATGGTGTTCTAAAAAGCTTGATAGATTTAAAGATGGTGTTCTAAAAACTTTGATAGATTTAAAAATGGTGTTTTAAAAAGTTTGATAGATTTAAAGATGGTGATCTAAAATGTTTGATAGACTTAAAGATGGTGTTCTAAAAAGTTTGATAGATTTAAAGATGGTAATCTAAAAAGTTTGATAGACTTATAGATGGTGTTCTTAAAAGTTTGATTTAAAAATGGACATAAAGTTTAATAAAAGCAAAGTAAAATTTTTTCAAATATAAAACTTGCAACCTATTAAGTTAGCTGTTGAAACTTTTTTTTTTTTTTTTTTTTTTTAACATCTTCACTTCCAACAAGGCTGCAAGCAACCACTATAAGAGTTGGAAGTTACTGGAAGAGAAAAGACTAAATCTGTAGAGCAAGATAACGATTGACTGATGACTTAAAAGATTGCAAATTATATGAATCAGGAAAGCAAGATGAAGGAAGCGAATTCCAAAGAACTGATGTTCGAGGAAAAAAACTAGAAGAATAAGAGTTTTTGAAGCACTTAGGAACAGTCACAGAAAAAGGATGAGACTTAATTGAATGGCGAGTAACACGAGAATGAATTTTAGTAGATGGCACAAGGGACGCTAGCTCCTTAGAGCAGTGCCCATTATAGTATTTGTAGAAAAGAGAAAGAGAAGCAACATTACGACGATGTGACAAAGGTTGGAGATTGGCTGCCAGAGCAGGTCCAACTATGTTTACAATTCGTTTTTGCACCTTGTCTAAAAGAGAAAGAGCATCGTTAGAAGATCCGCCCCAGATGTGGCAACAGTATTCCATACAGGGACGGATTTGAGATTTATAGAGATAGAGAATAGAATCTGGAGTAAGAAAGTGTCGAGCTCGATAAAGAGATGCAACCTTAGCAGATGCTAATTTTGCAATGGATTTGATATACGGTTTAAAAGAAAGATCAGAAGTAAGAGTTAATCCTAGAAGATGAATGGTAGATGACTCATCTAGTACATTACCATTCATAAATATAGGAAGATCTAAATTATTACGATAACGATTGGCCGAATAAAATTGAACTTTTTAACATTTTTATAAACACAATGTCACAACCAATCCATTCCCAAGTCTTCTAAAGTTTATTTTGCTCACTATTTTCTAATTTCTGATTATATTTCTTCTCTAAAATCTGTCAAGACTACCCATTTTGTAGAACAAGATGGGTAGTCTTGGTCGCTTCATGGTTTACTTCAAAGTTTTCAAGTTCAGTTTCTAAATAATCAGAATCAGAATCAACTTAAGTATTACATTAGCTTCACACTCATTAACATCTTGCACATCTGTTGTAGTGATATTATAAAGTACTTTTATTATTGCCAATTGTAGGCCATGTACGATATGTAATTGACAGGTTGTATTAAGTAATTTTACCATTCTCTTATTAATGGCAGGTTTATCTGATCCTATGCAGACAATACTTGACTATATTAAACTCTTTTAACTTCTTTTCAATTAATTCTGCGCATACCTCAACAGGTGCAGATTTATGAATCCCACTCAATCCAAGATCAATCCAAAAATTACCGTCATTTCCATGAATAATAATATTTATTGGTGGTATGTACACTCTGAAGGAAAGAGGGGGCCTGCAAATAGCTTATATGAGATGGAAGTGCAGTTATAAAAGTAAGAAAACACTAAATTTAAAAAAATATTATAAAATATTGGATTGGTAGGTTAAAAGCATTTACATTTAGGGAGATAAATGGTACTCAAAAAACGTTTTGCAAAATGTAGGTTAGGGTGGGGGGGAGGTCAAAACAAAAGCATACAAACTTTATGGATGACCCTAAGGCTAAACGCTTTTTTTAATTAGCTTGTTCTGTAAAATTTCATTTACAATTACTTTTCTTATTTTATCGGCATAATCCATTACTTTTAATGGTTTAGGACGATTTTGGTATCTCTATGTAGCTTTTTACTTTCATTAGCATCTTCAAATCTTCAGATGTGCAAATTTAAGGAAAAGATTGTCATCTTTTGCAATCATTCTTAAAAGTACAGTTTCAAGAGATTCATTGTTGTTGTTTTTTTTTGAAAAAAGAAGTAATTTTTGATGCTATAGCAGTGACGGTTCTTTGAGCATTCTTCTATTTCTTTTTAACACATTAATTTTATGTTTACGTTTATTAATTTAACTCTTTTGATGGCCACTTGTACTTCCACCTGTTTCTGTACTTTCACCTGTACAATAATAAAAATTTTTTATCCATTAAAAGGTATTTTAGATTTTGAAAATGTAATTTAAAATTTTTTTTTAGCTATAAAAAAAGTCAGCAATTAAGCAAATTTTATTAATTCATTTTGAAAAACATCTATATTATTTCAAAGGTTTTTTTTATTATAGTTTTTAAATTTATTTGTGCATTAAGTTCAAACAAAAAGTTTTATACTCTTAAGATTTTTAATGTTATTGACAACTTTCAAAATTATTTTCAAAATATCTATTATACTTTTTTGTTTTTGTCTTAAATATATTTTATTGCAACACTAATTTAGCAATCTAAATAGGATTCAAAAGGTATTATTAAAATTTACTATTATTGAAAAAGAGTAAAAGTTTAAAAAAGCAGCTTCACAAACCACATGTTGCATTTTTAAATATTTATTTTAAATATAGTTTTGTTTTCGTAATTAAATTTTAATGCCACTAAGTGTTAATAAAATTTAAATTGCACCGTAATAAACGTGAAAATGTCTTTGTTATGTTTCCTTTTTTTGCGTGCAACACCAAGCACAACAAAAGCTATCTCGACATTTCTGTTTATTAGTTGATAAGCAGCAGGTATGAAACCAACCCCCGCAATCATAACTGCAGGCATAATTTCAGTAATTTTGAATATTTTATATTATATATATATAATTTATTTAACTTGAATAACATGTTCTTATATAAAAATAACAATTTAAGCAATCTTTGAGTTACACGTAAATTACAAAAACCTGAGTTACATGTAAATTACAAAAATTTAGGTTTTTTGATTTTATTAGTAAATTTATTCAATAATTGTTATTATTTAGTTTATTTAATATATATTTATATATAAACCTTGTTGTAAGAGGAGAAAAAACCAAATAATGATTGCTTTTGAATTGTCATGTGATAAGATGCTGACATCATAAGCACCATTAATAATAATAGCATTAGTTAATAGTAATAGCATTAGTTAATAATAATAGCATTAGTTAATAATAATAGCATTAGTTGATAATAATAGCATTTGCAATAGCAATAGTTATATCAGTAATTATTAAGTTGCCAAAATTTTTGATTTGTTATATATAAAATAATTTTTAATTTGTTATATATAAAATAATTTTTAATTTGTTATAAAATAATTTTTAATTTGTTATAAAATAATTTTTAATTTGTTATATATAAAATAATTTTTAATTTGTTATAAAATAATTTTTAATTTGTCATAAAATAATTTTTAATTTGTTATAAAATAATTTTTAATTTGTCATAAAATAATTTTTAATTTGTTATAAAATAATTTTTAATTTGTTATAAGATAATTTTTAGTTTGTTATAAAATAATTTTAATCAACTTAGCCCTGAAAAGAAGAGTAAAAGTTTTTTTGAAAAATTTTGATACAGTAAAAAGTTGTAAGGTACATAAAGTGTGAAAAATTTTGATACATTAAAAAGTTGTAAGGTACATAAAGTGTACCATAAAGTGTACAGTAAAAAGTTGTAAGGTACATAAAGTGTAAACAATAACTGATATTATTACTCTTTATCAATTTATATATTTTATAGATCACAATAATTATTTTTTTACAATTTAAATTGCTCTATTTTATAAGTTTTAGTTTAATTTCTAAAAACCAAAGTTTCTGCTGTTTGTTTTGTTGAAATCTTTATTATTCTTTATTTATGTCCAGGAAAGTCTGGGAACGCATAATCACTGATCCAAGTTTTTACTTTTAATTCAATGCAAGGATTTTATCCCTAATGTTGGTGACATCCATATCCAAACATTAGCAACTTGCTTTGTGTTATTAATAATTAAAAAAAATTAAATAAATTTTTTTTATTTTCTTGAACTAATTTAGTTTTATATATATATATATATATATATATATATATATATATATATATATATATATATATATATATATATATATACATATATATATATATATATATATATATATATGTATATATATATATATATATATACATATATATATATATATATATATATATATATATATATATATATATATATATATATATATATATATATATATATATATATACACATATATATATATATATATATATATATATATATATATATATATATATATATATATATATATATATATATATATATATATATAACATCTACAAATTATTCCCCATCAATGAATAAGTTTAAAAAAAAAGGTGTTACATCCTTATTTGTGAAAAAGGTTTTTCATTTTTACATAGGATTGTTTGTACTAATTCCTACTTTACTTTTTAAACATTTGATCAGCTGAACCATTTAATATTCCATCTATAAATTTAATCAATAACTTGCAATATATATAATCTTTTTTTGCAATATTTTTTTAGCTCAAGCAACTTAAATTTATCAATGGTTTTCATATTGATTGGGATGATAAAATGGAAAGTGCTCTCGGTCATGATTGTGTTCCTTTGGATAGCGATGATCCATTATATATTATATATACTTCTGGAACAACAGGTCGACCAAAGGTAATTAAAAAATTTTTCATACTTGCCCAATTTGTGCACTAAAGCCCTTGCAAATGGCTATTTCAGTATGACATTATATATATATATATATATATATATATATATATATATATATATATATATATATATATATATATATATATATATATATATATATATATTATATATATATATATATATTTGCTGACCTCTAAGAGATTGAGGTCAGCAAATTATTGCCCACCTAATTTTTGCTAATTCCAAATTATCGCTTTTCATTTTTTCCTAATTCCGAGGGTTGTATACAGTATTGGACAAAACATTTGCAACCAACATCAAACAATGCTAAAAAGTATTCCTAATTTAACATGTCTTAAAAATGAAACAAACTATACTACCACAGCAAACAGTTTAGGAGTCATAGCATGCCATGACATGAGCAATCAGCTGACAGGTGATTATTGTATCATTACCAAGGTAAATGTAACAGGGTAAGCCTTGAGAAGCGTGATTATTTATTTTTATTATTTTTATAACTTGAAGTTCAAAAATGACTCCCGACATTCTTAAATTGGAACTATGAAAGAAAGTTACTGGCGATTACGTAAGTGAAATGTCACAAAAAAGTATTTGTGATGAATATCGCCTGGAAAAATGGACCGTATCAAGATTCCAAATATCATTCTACGGGGAAGTTGGCAGCAGATAACAAAGGTGGAAGGCCGCGTTCCACCACTTCTAAAGATGATTCTATGATCATCAGGTCCATCAAGAAGGATCCCTGGATATCATCAGTCGAGATACAAAAGCAATTAGAACTGCCTGTATCAGACCGAATAATCAGACGACGTGCTGTTGAAGCCGGATTATTTTCTCGACACCCTGATTTCACTAAAGAACCAGAAGAAAAGATTCTTGTTTGCTACATCTCATATTGACTGGAATGTGCAGAAATGTCGAACTGTCCTGTTCAGTTCAACATCATTGGGAGCGATGGCATTTGTGGTGTACGTCGACCGGCCGAAAAACGCCTTGATTTATGTTACTACCATAAGACCGTGAAGCATAGTGAAGGCAATGTAATGGTCTAGGGGTGTTTTTCTGTGGGAGATTATCAACAGCAGAATTAATCGTGAAGGTGTTCGTAATAAGGATCAACTGTTTGAACAAATCCAAAAGGCCTGGGCAGTGATTCCACAAAGTTTCACCTAATCGAATCTATGCCTCGAAGATGCAAAGTTATGATCAACAACAAAAGATTCACCACAAAATATTGATAGCCAAATACAGCTTGGTCAACATTTTGTGGAGTTGCACTTGTTTTGTCCAGAAGGAAATCAACTTTTTTTAATACTTTTGATTAATTTATTAATTTTCACTTTGTGATGAATAAAACTTGAAGAACATTGTCTCTATACAGTTACATAGTTATTTCTCTAAATTGAAAAAATGCAGCACTTTTATATAAGGAAACTAAATTAGCATTATTTGGTTGCACTTGTTTTGTCCGTATATATATAGCATCCTAGTTGCGACATTCAGGGACATGTTTTTTTTTGTTCCTGTTCTGTTTATTTTTTACTTTTTTATACTATTTTTTATCATATTTATATATTTTTTATAACTTTTATTTTATTTCTATTTTTATTTATACATATTTAAATTTTTTATTTTATTATAAAAATATATTTTTTTTTAATTTTTGTTATTTTCATTTTTTTATTTTATATTTTATTTCATTTTTAACTTCATCTATTTAAAAAAATGATTAATTACAATAATATAACCAAATTTAAACCTTGCTGTAACCCTAAACCTAAGCCTGACCTTGATGTCTGGCCTAACCAAACCCTTGGTCGATGTAGCAGCACTTCCTTGCGAGTCAGGCTATTTGATAGTCAATGTATGTACTTTATGTTGTTCTCTATAAAATTTTCTTATGGGTACATTTTTTTACAAAAAACATAATGCTTACGGGGACAAAAAATTAACGGGGACACTAAAATGTCCCCGATAATGCTAATGTCCCCGTAAGTGTTTATTTTTTGTAAAATCTGTCCCCGTAAGTGAAAAACTATACAAATATTTATATATATATATATATATATATATATATATATATATATATATATATATATATATATATATATATATATATATATATATGCATAAAAATAATTTTTTTAAATCTATTATTTTTTATCTTTTTTTATTATTATTTTTACATTTGTTAAATTTGTTCTCTTTTTATTATTACAATTCTAATTATAGGGTATCGTACGTGGAAATGGTTGTCATGGTGTTGCCTTAAAGTGGAGTATGAAACATATCTATGACTTGAAACCAGGCGAAGTAAAACAGAATTTTTAAGCATTTTGACATACTAAATATAATATTTTAAAGCTCAGAACAGTTGCATGTTTCTTATTAAATGCTTCTTCAACACGCTTTATATTTTTCTTTGCTAGTGAAGACTTATTAGAGGATTTAAGTAAATGAAGTTTTTGAGGGGGAAATTTTTACACAAATTACTGTTGAGCAATGGTTTCCAGCATAATTTCTTTTTTCATATCAAAGTTTGTTTTTTTTTGTTCTTTTCTAGTTCTTTAATGTTAATTTAAATCAAGAAGAAGCTAAAGATTTTTAACTCTGCATTATCAAAGATTACCTAAAAATAAGCTCAACAGAAAAATAGTATAGAAAAAAATGGCAAAACATCTATTTATTGAGTTTTCAAGACTTTCAAAATTGCAAATTTTAGAGTTAAAAATTATGATTTCTATAAATAGTTTTAACCAGCATTGTGTTAATTTAGTTGGAACACTTCAAATAAATGTTTGTTTTGGAGACAAGATTAACAATTATTTTTTTATCTCAGTCTCCTACATTATTATTTTTCCTATTATTTATCATTATTATTTCTCCTTTCACATTAGGAATATCTTCAAGAGATTAAATTTCAATCAACAGTGTTTATTTTTTCAGTTGACATTCAATTTTAGTTTAATTTCAACAGAAACTTGTTGACTTTTTCCCATGTAAAAATAAAACAAAAAAATTATGTATTTCCCCAACCAACTCAGATTGGGAAAATTTGAGCTCTTATCTACAAACAATTTAAATGTTATGTAATTTTGAAACAAATTTTTTTGTTCATGACTGCTGCTATAGATGTTGTAAGATGTTGTTGACTGCAGATGTTGAATTATTAAAGTTCTAGTGAAATAAATTAGCTGAAAATTGATACTTGACCATATCTGAGTTTAAAAAATTTCATAATTTGATTTATAATGGTATGATGGGTTGCTCTTTCTTTAACACCCAGATTTGCCTAAGTGAATTTTCAAGTTTTTAAAAATGAAAAAGTAGGTGTTAGGAATCGTCTAAAACATAAAATGCTTTATTACATTAAAAATCTCTGCGCAAGAAAGCCAATAATCTCTTACTTCTATTTAAAAACAAAACTTAGCGTGACATTATTTTTGAACAGCCGTTTAGACCAAATTAACAATAAATATGGTTTTGGTCTCTTAAAGCACAATAAAAATATGCCATTTTAAAATTAAGACCAAAATATATATATAACAATAATACAATGACTGAGAAATTTCTCATTTGGGAAATCAAGTTCTGAGAAATACTTTCTCATTTGGGAAATCAAGTTCTGAGTCATGAAATTATCTTTCACAATTTCTGATATTTAATATATTAAATATAAATATATTAAATATTAATATACTACAACTGCTATTTAAATAACTATATGCAACTTTTTATGATATCACATTACTGTATTTTGAAAACTTGATCACTCCTTGTTTTGTTTGTGTTATATATGTATAGTGTTATAATTTTCTAACAAAAATATCTTTGTCATCATTATTATTATTATTGTTTTTATTATTATTATTCACATACAAAAGTTTAACTAGATTAGCATCAGCATTGTTGTCATCATTATTTTTATAATCAGCATCATCGTCATAATTATCATCATCATCAGCATCATTCTTCAATAAACTTTAATTCTGGAGGATTTCATGTCATTTTGTTTATAACATTGCAGAGCCAGTTTACTACTATGACTTTAAGTTAAATCAGGTCAGAGTACATGTCTACTATAATGCGATTTAATGAGAGGTAAAAGACATTTTTGTAAACACTCTTTAACATATATTTTACCAGAAAGTATTACTAGAAACTCTTTCTACAGAAAGGTTTTTTTGCCACACCTACAACTAGCTTACCAAATCAAGGGTTTTTAAGCAAACTTATGTTTTGTGTATTTAAATTTGTTATCTTTTGAGTGTTTCCTTAATGATAGACTCGGGTTAATATTAAAACTGTTAACCAGTTTTTCAACCTATTTTATATCTTGAAAAAGCCTCCTTTCTTCCACCACCAGATTTGCATTTGATGAATTTTATTCAGGAAAAAAGTTGAATAACATGTAGAGAAGTACTTAGTTAAATAATACGTAGAGAAGTACTTAATTAAATAGCACGTAGAGAAGTACTTAGTTAAATAACACGTAGAGAAGTACTCAGTTAAATAACACGTAGAGAAGTACTTAGTTAAATAACACGTAGAGAAGTACTTAGTTAAGTAACAGGTAGAGAAGTACTTAGTTAAATAACACGTAGAGAAGTACTTAGTTAAATAACACGTAGAGAAGTACTCATTTAAATAACACGTAGAGAAGTACTTAGTTAAATAACACGTAGAGAACTTGAAATCTTTTTGCTGTTGAATTGTAGCTTCTATTCAGATTTTTTAAATAAATAATAATTCTAAATAAATGCATAATTTTTTTTCTAATCTTTTCTTCTTTTGTTATTTTTAAAACTTATTGTGAGTAATATGGGAAAACTAAACTGTTTTTCAAACAGTAACATGTTGTAAACAAAATACCAATAAAATTAAAAAATATATTAGTACAATGACTGAAAAAAAAAGATTTATTTTGTGTAGATGCTTTAATAATATTGTTAACAGTTTACTGCAACAGTTACTGTAACAGTTTAGTAATTTACTGCAGTAATAATTTTAATATTTGATGAGTTTAAAAGATTAGTATACTATAACAGTTTAGTCCAAATAATTTACATTTGGACTAAACTGTTGTTTTGTTTTTTAGAGATGGTGGGCTGCTTCAGACATAGGTTGGGTTGTTGGGCATTCTTATATTGTTTATGGACCACTTTTAAATAGAAGTACAAGTATTCTATTTGAGGTATATTTTTGATATAGTAATGTGTATGTAAGCACTTTTTTATATAAAAGCCAGAATGCCTGAGTTGACTGAAAAAACTATATAATCTTTTAAACCAATGATGTAAGGTTGCGAGAAGGCAGTGCCCCCCTGGTGTCTTTGGGTAAAATCTGTTGTGGCACCAAAGATTGTTCCCAATAATACTATATATATAATTATATGTAAGTACAATTTTTAAATATTTTATTCAAAAATATTTTTTGAATAGGTTAATAAGTCCATTCACGTATTTAAAAAAATATGTACTTTTCTTGAAACACTGCTCTTTTCAAATGCTAAAAGAGTGCATCTTCTGTAGGTGGTAACCTCACACTCTTCCCTGACTTTTTAGTGAACAGCATTCTTAAGCATATAGCGAGATTAGTAGTAAAACTTGTCTTATCAAAAAGTAGAATTTCGAAGCATTTAAACTTCAGCCGTGAAATTACTCTGCATCAGGTGAAATTACTCTTGTAAATGCTCTAATTATTTCTTCATCTCAATTGTTCCAGAGACTCCATGTAAGTTTTTTCTCTCGTTCTGCAAATAAGGATATGGTATCACAGCCAGTGAATGCAAACCACAATGAAACAGCTTCTACGTTTTCACATATCTTTTTTGTATATAGTGAATTGGAAGCCAAAACTCTAAGTTAATTGTTTAAAAACAAAATTCTAGTTTCAGCTTCCTTGTGGTTACAAGGTGAGAAATTGGACAAAACAGTTTCATATAAAGTTATTACTAACAGTAAGTCAAATGTTGGTACAAAGTTTATTGCAAGCATTTTAGACAACTCATTTTGTTTACATCCAATAGTAAGAACCATGACCAGTTTTTCCAAATGGAAGTTAAATCAGAAACACATACTCTCACCATTTCCCACAATTCTCCATGGTCTGGGTTTTTAAACTACATTGAAAATAATAGTCAAACACAATGCCAATCCTTTTTACTTCTTTATATTTTGTTGATGTGATATTCATTATTTTTTCTCGAAACTCAATATCAGAGTACTCCTTGAAAGTCTTTGAATTTACTGGATGAAATATATAAACAATTGCTCCTTGGTATAATACCTCTGCAGAGATACTTTCAGGAGAGATCAAAGTAGGTGCCGAATACTTTTCAAAGCATTTAACTTACTCTGATCTATTAGTTTTTTGAAGTTTACTGAATTCAGATATTGCTGGTGGATAAGCATTATTTTTATGTCAAAATAATCACCTAAAGCTTGGGGATTGTTTTATAAACTAAATTCCTTCCAGTTAAACTATTCTGAGTATACCATCTGGATGACTCAACACCCATTTGCATAACTTTTTTGACGGATGCTCTACCTTTTGTGTCAAGTAATATCTTTGTTGATAAATGTGTAAAAATGTTTTCTACTAAAAATGGATTTCCAAAACTTTTTATAACTTCAATAAAATCTGATACATGTCATTATAATTCTTTTCAAAGGCAGGTGCTTCTTTGAAATGATTCTTTTCATTATCTTTTTCTTCTTCTCCAAATCCCATTAGAAGCTCAGTAAGTATTGGCTTACACACCATAGACTTTATCAATACACTTGGACTATCTAAAACGTCAATTGAACCACCATCTTTTTTATGATTTTGATGTTTTGTTTATGGGCCTGATCTACAGTCATAAATGAAAAAGGGCATCTTGTTATTTGTTATGTGAAAAAACCTTTGCAGAACTTGGTGTAAACCTCATGGTTTTTTTGATGAAACATATTCATGTCAGCAAGAAAAATGAATTAAAGCAAACTATCAAGGAACAATATTTCCCTAGACACTGACAATTGTATTAAAATTTCCCATTCTGAAATTCTTAATAAGCTCTCAACAAGGACTGTTGCTTGTAACTTCATAGCAGTAAACTAATAATTAAATTGGGTTTATACTATTTTTTTGTTGATAGAAATGTTGATTTTATTGATAATTTTTAGAATGCTTTAGCCAATAGTGAGAATAAACTAGCTAATGAAACTTGTGTTGCATGCCTTGAACATTTTACTTTTTGACCAGTCAGCATAGGTTAGGCTCATCCAGAATTTATATACCAGCTTTAGTTATGGCATCACAATAACCACTGCCTTCTAATCAATCTCCAACCAAAGATAAACAGGTCATTTCTATGTATAACTCGTCCATCATCATTAAAATTTTAGCTATATAGTTCTGGGTAGTGCCACTGAAGTTGTTTACTTAAAACATACACTAATTGTTCAGCAGTTATTATAGGGACTTGATTTGGGTTGAATTTTGCTAAATCTTTTTTAGTTATATTAAAAGTTTGTCTTACCATAGATGTGTTTATCAATTTATTAATGATTGACAATAAAACAGAAGTATTTTTTGTTTTCTGTTTATATATGATTGTCAGAATGAAATGCTGCTCAAGAAGTTTGCTTTGTGCCTTTCCCATCTGAATTGTTGTACATTCATGAAAGTTACTTTTCATGAAAGATACATTTACTAGCTTTACAAAAAACAAGCAAATTATCGATTTTTTGTTTACATACACTGTTTGCACTTACCTAAAATAAATATCTATAAATGTTTTTTATAAAATGTTTACAGTACAACCACGTACATTGTTTATGATTTTATTTAAAGCTGATTTTACACTGTATCATGAAGTTCTTTGAGTCCATTTGTCTAAAAGTTAAAGACTCTGTATTCAAAACCAAAGACATTTTTTTTTAGACATCCTTTTCTTTATCAAATTGTATTGTTGTTGACAGTAATTTCGCTGAGTTTCATGCTGGTATCACAATGTGAACTATTTTTACCCTTATTCCCTCCACTAATAAGTCTTGCTCTCTTATAAAACCATTCCTTTTCATGAGAATATACTTAAATATTTATTTCAAGTGTGAACTTTTTCAGGTGTGAAGTGAAAGTTACTACATACATTCAGGCTCTTGATATACTGGATAAAGCTCTTCTAATATTTTTATGCATAATAATATTTTTATTGCATCATAATAATATTTTTATTGCATCATAATAATATTTTTATTGCATCATAATAAAATTTTTATTCTAGCATAATAATATTTTGACTTCAGCTGTTAATAGAACTTTAGTACTATTAACTCTACCATTAAAAAAAAACAACACAATAATATGTTGGAAATACTTTCATATTTCATTTGTCCACTTATATGATATTTAACTTCATTCTTTAAATACATCAAATTAAGTTTAGTATTTTAATATTCCTTACTAAATGATTCCTCAGTCTCTCCAAACTCAAGTTGGAAATTTTTTTCCTGATTTCTAATGGCTTGTTGTAGATTTTTGTTGTAACTAAAGATAAAGTAATTGATTTTTCATTATTTTGTAAAATAATGCAGTTAGAAGTATTTTCTGTTATGCTTTTTTTCAACAGTTATGTTTTAACATAAGTATAATACAATGAGTACAAGTAGCTGAAAATGTTTCTTAAAATCATTTATCTTGTATGTCTTAATTACAGTCTTGGAAGTTTAAGATCACCATGTATAAATGCTATACTTTAGTGCCTAAAATAAAATCCTATAACTTGGTGCTATAACTTGGTGCTACTTTTGATTTTAGCTGCTGTGGACATTATTTTAATGCATTTATTTTTTTATTTTTGAACCAATTTTTTTGTACTGTAATAATTTTTTCATTAAATTTTCAGTTTTTGCAAGTGGTCTTAAACTTTTTTCCAAGACTGTATCTTGTGTATTTTAATTATTTATCTTGTATATTTTATTATTTATCTTGTATATCTTATTATTTATCTTGTATGTCTTATTATTTATCTTGTATGTCTTAATTAGATTTTGCTAATTTTAACTTGAAATAGTAAGATATGTTTATAGTATACAATAAGTTATTTTAAAAAAGAATTTTAATCAATTTTTGTTATATAACAAATTAAAAATCAAAACCAGTTAAAAGAATTTTCTTTCTCTAATTTTAAGCAGTATTCTGCATTCTGCACTATAACAACTGTTTGTTTGTTTATTAAATCAGCTAATCTAGTTTGATGTGGACCAGTAGTTCCTATTTTAGCTTTATTTTTGATATGTCTCGATCAATAGCTTTTTCTTTATTCCTTCCATATGTATGTCTTATGAAGCCTCCTGTTATTATGAAGTTCTGTTATTATAAAATTCTGTTATTATAATGTTTATTATAAAATTCTGTTATTATAAAGCCCTCCTGTTATTATAAAGTTCTGTTAATATAAATTTCTGTTTATATAAAGTTTATACTGTTAATATAAAGTTCTGTTTATCTTATAAAGTTTATTGTAGAAGTATGTATTATTACAGAAACCCTCCTCTGTTATTAGAGTTAACAAGTCAGCAGTAGAACAAGACAAATTTAGATTCATATTAATTATTAGAGATTAATTTGTTGGACTAAAAATGAGCTTTTTAATTAAAGACTCAAAGACCTTTCATATTAATTTTAAGCTATAATTTTTATTTGTTTTAAGGGTAAACCTATTGGATGCCCTGATGCAGGAACATTTTCAAGAATCATTGATGAGTACGATGTTGTTTCTTTGTTTACTGCACCTACAGCAATGAGAGTTATAAGAAATGCAGTATGTTTGTCTTATCTTATTTTTACTAGCTTTTATTGTTTGATTGTAGTTTCATATTTCATAAATGACTTAATGGTTAAACTTTTTTTCTTCTTGGAAATAAAATTTGAATGCTAAAAAAGATGTCAAATAAATTTTATTATAGGATCCTGATGGCGATCTCTCAAAAAAATATAAAATGGAAAAGTAAATTTAGCTTTATTATAGTTAATTTTTATATAGAAAATTTTTACAACTAGAAAGTTTTTCTTAGAATTTTAAAAAATGTTTTTTTTTATTTTAAATTAATATTATATTATATTTTTGTTTTTATTTACATTCATTTTAGCCATAGCTATCTTGAAAAAAATAATATTTAGTTATATATAATAAGTGGTTTTTCTAAGTTTATAGTAAGTATATACTTACATAAAGTTGAAACTATATAATTATATTAAATACATACTTATATAAAACAGCCCTCAACATTATGGTTGATATTGCAGAATGCCAACCTAACTGCCAAACTAAATAGTATTTCTAGTCCTGTTTGAACTAAATTTTAATCTTGAAGGTTTGCAAACATACTGCAAGGTACTAGATACCTATATTGCAAGAAATTTAAAAAGATTTTGTTAAAATTGAAATTATTATAAAAATTATATAGAAGTATGAGAAAATAATATAGTTAATAGTTGTTGAGAAAATAATATAGTTAATGTTATAATAGGTTGAATAGGAAAAAATTATTAATTTGAGTATCAATTTTTTAGTTTTAAAAAGATATTAAAATCTGTTATAAATTTTTTAAAATAAATTCTTTCTAAATTCTGTATTATTTGCAACATCAAATTATTTAGGGGCTAATTCTCTATGACTGGTTTTTACAATGACCGTGTTTTTTTTTTTAATTTCCAGTCTGTTTCAAGTATATTGTCAAATTATTTAAGGCCTTAAATTATTTAGATTATTTGTTAATTTTTTTATTGTGTGATTATAAAGTTTTTGTTGACATTTTTATTAGGCTATCAATTACAGTTATTGCATCAATTAAAATTGTTTAGTTCTGGAGTTTTATTCAAATACTTTAATTTGTTTTTACTTTGTTTTTCATGAAGGATTTTTAAATGTAGTCTAACTATGCTACTAGCGTCAAAACTTTGTTTCAAAAAATCTATGGGCTTGGCACAATATAAATATAATTTTGTTTCCAACTTGTTTCAAAGGTTTAACATTAGTTCAATAATTTTTCCTGAAATATTACTTACAAAGTTGTAAGATTGTAAGGATATTCAGAGTTTAATAAATTGTTTTCTAAAATGTTAATCGTTTGCTAAAACTAGTTTTATTTGTTTCTTTTTTGATCTTCAAAAGTTGATTATCAGCTTTGTCTTGACTACAAATATATTGGACACATATTACTTAAATTGTCTTGGCTAATTTCATTTTAGACACTGTAAATGTTGTTATACACACCATACTGTAAATGTTGTTATACACACCATACTGTAAATGTTGTTATACACACCATACTGTAAATGTTGGACACATACTGTAAATATTGGACACATACTGTTGTATGGTGTTGTATCAGCACTATATAAATATTTTCTTCTTTTAGCTTTTTTACAGTTATTTGTTTCTATTACTTAGCTAGTACTTTAAAATATCATTTTAAGATCTCAGACCAAAGTAAGTATCTTTATATGATCATCATAGAGGCTCCTCAATCTAGAATTTTATTAATGAAATATATTAAGAGAATTTGAATTAACTGCAATTTTCTCCTATTAGTTACCATCAATTTCATCACCATCACTTTCATCATATCACTTTCATCATCATCACTTTCATCATCGTCACTTTCATCATCATCACTTTCATCAGCATCACTTTCATCACCATCACTTACATCATCACCACTTTCATCATCATCACTTTCATCACATTTTTTTGACTACAAATAAATTTCTTTTTTTCACAACAACTTAACTTTAATCTCATTAAAAATGAAAATTTTTAATTAAATGGATTGTTTTTGCATGGAATTTTGCTTCATTATTTTTTATCAAGAAAAGTACTGCTGTAAGTCACTATATTCTTGTGGAAGTTTATGGAGAGAATGCTCTTTCTAAAGCTGCTTACATCAATTGGTTTATACCCTTTAAAAGTGCTGATTTAAATGTTGAAAACAAAGAGTGTTTGGGGAAGCCACAAAAATTTGAAGATGAGGAATCAGAAGCATTACTTAATGAAAATTTTTGTAAAATGCAAAAAAAAATTCAAAATTGTTGTAAGTAACACTACAAACCATTTCCCTGTGTTTAAAAGCAGCAGGGTTCATTGAAAAGCAAGGAAATTAGCTCCTTCATGAACTGTGAGACATTGAAAGACATTGATTTTGCATGTGGGAAATGTTGCTTGAATGGTACTAAAAGAATCTTTTAGCATCGAAGTATAATGAACCATGCTGCTGGGAGGTTGCATACATAATGGATCTTGGTTTTTGGTTTTAGCTCACTGTGGTAAATGGTAACTGTTTTCCACAAAGATACTTTAGTTCAAATAATTTGAATAATCTTCTAAGTTTCATCCATTTTGATTTGGTTACTGATTGAGGACTATTAGAAAAATTTATTCAATAAAAAAATTCCATTTTATGTTGTCTAAATATTTTGGTTTGGCCAATTTTCGTTTAGTTATTGATTGAGAACTACTAAAAAAAATTGATTTATTATTAAAGTCACACTTTATGTTGTTAAATGAATTTTTCAAAAACTCAGCTGGTTTTTTTTTGTTTTTTTTTAAAAAAAAAAAAAAAACCAGCTGAAAAAACCATTTTTAAAAAATAGCTGAGTTTTTGAAAAATTCATTTAACAACATAAAATGTGACTTTAATAATAAATTCTACATAAAATGTGACTTTAATAAAAAGTAAATTCTACTTTGCTTCACTGAAAAAACATTGCTCTTTTTTGGACATTTTAACATCTTAACAAAAAAGAATACTTCTAAATAGTATTTTGGAAAGTTTAAACTTTTAACTTTTTAAAAAAGTATAAATAATTTTTGTAACATTTCACCTTTTTTTATAGAGTAAATCAAATGTAAAAAATTATACCTGTTTTGTTATATTTTTTAACTAATATTTTTTAATGACAAAAATATCTAATTTTTTTTTGATTTTTTTTTGCTCTGGCTTCAAGTTATTAAGATTAAGCATCTTCTTACTGAAATTGAAATTGATTTTAGGTCAGGAAAATTAAATTCTTTTGTATGTATGTATATATGCATAAAAAGACTTAAAACATAAAAGACATAAAAAATTTTAAAGACATAAAAATTTTTTTTGAGTGTAAACAAACAAAAATGTTTTAATCATAAGTCTAACTCTAGGGTGATCAAGAACTTCAAAAATATTGAACAGGAGTTTGTTTTTTAACTTAATGCAATTAACTAAAATTATTTATAATTAAAGAGGGTAACTTGTACATCATAGTAAATATGATGCAATACATATGTGGTAATAAATATTCAAAATTACAATCACTTTGTTGCTGTGTAAAACTTAACACAGCTTGATTTCAACATTCTAATGAGTCCTAATTCTTTTTAAAGATTTGCATGACAAAGTAACAATAATGCTTTTCTGAAAGTCAGGCAGTTGTTTTGTTTCCTTGAAAATTCTCATTTCTTGATAACAATATTACAGTAAAATGAAGTTCTTGAATTAGATGCGATGCAAATAACTAAATGTTTTGTCATATGAAACTAAACTATTTCCAAAATAAAAAATCAATAACTGAAATTGAATTCAAGAAAAGTTGAAAAAAACATATTTATATCTGATTCTATGATTTTCTAAACATGTATGTTTTTATAAACACTTTTTTTTTAAGGTTAAGAGTTGTGTTTTTAGCTGGTGAAAATTGTGAACAGGATTTGTTGAAATGGACATCAAGTGTTTTCAAACGACCTGCTCTTGATCATTGGTGGCAAACAGGTTTTATAAATATAATAAAGTTTTTTCAAGATATTGGTCTCTAGTTTTCCTATTGAGGAGCTTAATAGTAAAAAATTATTTTCTAAAATTAGGAATTTTAAATTGGTACAATTATTTTATTTTAATAGAGAGTGGCTGGCCTATTACAAGTCACCATATTGGACTTGGCTTATCAACTAATTATCAGCATGGTTCAAGCGGAAAACCTTCTCCAGGGTGGAATGGTATTTTTTTCCTTGATTTAATGGGTTACTACTGAAAAATAAGAATTAAAGACACACAACTCCTTTAAAGATGCACAACTCCTTTAAAGAAACACAACTCCTTTAAAGATGCACAACTCCTTTAAAAACACACAACTCCTTTAAAGACACACAACTCCTTTAAAGACACACAACTCCTTTAAAAACACACAACTCCTTTAAAGACACACAACTCCTTTAAAGACACACAACTCCTTTAAAAACACACAACTCCTTTAAAGACACACAACTCCTTTAAAGACACACAACTCCTTTAAAGATGCACAACTCCTTTAAAGACACTCAACTCCTTTAAAAACACACAACTCCTTTAAAGACATACAACTCCTTTAAAGACACTCAACTCCTTTAAAGACACACAACTCCTTTAAAGACACACAAATCCTTTAAAAACACACAACTCCTTTAAAGACACTCAACTCCTTTAAAAACACTCAACTCCTTTAAAGAAACACAACTCTTTTAAGTTATAAGTTAAAACAAAATGGAAAATGTTTTAGAAAGTATTTTTATTCTATTTTTTAAGTATTTTATGTTTTTATTTTATGTTTTTACATAAAAATGAATGAAAATATAAATAAATGTGTTGAGAGTGAATACAAGTATTATCTACAAGATAATACTTGTATATAAGTACTATCTACAAGATAAATAAATGTGTTGAGAGTGAATATGAAAACCAACGAAATCAAGGAAAGGCTATAAAAATGATCAAGGCAAACGTTAAAAGGCCTAAACTCATGTTTGACCATAAGTCCAGAGTTTTTCAATGACAGGCAGCTAAAAAGGTTAATCTGTGCTCAGTAGAAAATTAGTAAAACATTAAAAACAAAGACAAAAATTAAATGAAAAAAATATATATTGATTCAAAAACATTTAGATCAGCTAAAAGCAGTTGATAGAAGTGCAGTCATTTTATTCAGAAATTCAAAAATCATAAATCAGTAATTGCCAATTAATCTTATTTTGTGTTAAATCCAATATTTAGTATAAGAATTTGGATTTTATTTGTAATGCCTTGCCTACAAGAATAATATGCATGCAGAAAATCTTAAAAAATTAAGTTTTAGAATCAAATTTTGTTATTAACAATATTAACATATTGTGTTCTCTTTGTTTTGCTTATTTATATATGGTATTTATATCCCTTTAGAGCATTAATTTAAAATGTTAAAAAAATTATCTTCATAGTTGTAATTGTTATTTTAATTGTAATTGATCATTGCATATAATGATTAAGTTGTTTTTCTTTGTTTTTTTTTTTGTTTTTTTTATGTATTATAAAGTTATAAGCTTTTAGGTGTTTTGAAAAATAGAGATACACATATAGAAGAGATATAACATAACATATAAGAGAGATATAACATATATAAGAGAGATATAACATATATAAGAGAGATATAACATTACAGATTTGTTTTGATAAACATGATATAATCTAGAATTTTTTTTTAACTATGTAACCTAAACTAAACAAATTGTATTCTTTGTTTTTTCCTAGTCATATTTTTCATTGTTTGAACAATTTAAGGTATCACCCTGCAAAAAGATTATTAATTTTTGTTTTTCAATTAAATACATCTTTAGACAGTTATATTTGAATATCATTCTTCTAAAATTAAGCCCACATTAGATTTTTAATTTTGCCATGTTTTGTTTCTGTTAGTAGTTTTTGTGCTTTTTGAATATATATAAAATTAGCATCAGTAAATAATAAAATTAGCAAATTTTTTTCGGTAGATAAAAAAAATATGTATTTTATATATAAAAATATTGAGATAAAATTCTTTATAAAATCTGAGGTTGTTTTTCAATAAATATTTATTTTGACTGAACAGCTAAAACAGTGCTGATGTTGATTTGTGTGCTTTTCTGATAAATGTGTTTTTTACATGCTTATTTATAACTGTTTTAAATTTTTTTGTTAGGGTATTAAATATATATATATATATATATATATATATATATATATATATATATATATATATATATATATATATATATATATATATATATATATATATATATATATATATATATATATATATATATATAAAATACCTTCTCTTTTCTTTGTTTTCAAAGGTATTTATTAAATATATCCTCTCCTGGGAAGGTGTGATTTATATTTAATACAATATAAGTCATAACTATAATAATAATTTTGCGGCAAGATCCTCATCTGTGTTGAAAGCAATTTACTTAGGAGAAGAAAAACTATAAAAATATATATATATATATATATATATATATATATATATATATATATATATATATATATAAAATACCTTCTCTTTTCTTTGTTTTCAAAGGTATTTATTAAATATATCCTCTCCTGGGAAGGTGTGATTTATATTTAATACAATATAAGTCATAACTATAATAATAATTTTGCGGCAAGATCCTCATCTGTGTTGAAAGCAATTTACTTAGGAGAAGAAAAACTATAAAAACCCTAACATGTTAAATATATTATAGTTTTTGTTTAAATAAAGTTAATGTTATAATCACAGTATAACCTGAATAGAGAAATTATAAAATGGCTTATTATATATCAAAGTCATTGAATCAACAAAATTCACTAAACTTCCTTGTGTCTCTTGTCTCAGTGGTATTTGTCTCTCTATTCTCAGTATACTCTTACCAAGTGTTACTGTGAGCATTTAAGTATTTATATATAAAAATATAATAAAATGCTAATGTATGACATTATTTTATCACAGAAGTACTTTTAATATAGATGAAGTTAAAGTTCATCAATATTTTTTTCTAAACCTTTTAAGTATTTTTTATGAATAAATAGAGAGAATAAATAGTCTTTTATAAATAAATAAATAAAATTATTAATATGATAAAGTTAAAGTTTTTTAAACATAAACATTTATATTAATGATTTTATTTTATAACATGTGTTTTATTTTATAAAGATTTTAAACTTTGTGTATCTTATGCAATTAATATACGATTAGACTTTTTTTTGTTTCTTTTTTAAAGCACTGTCTAAACAATAATCCATAAAATCTAATTCAAAAGTTTTTAGGTAAGATTCTTTATTTGTTTAGTAAAAGTATTGAACAAGAGATTAGAAGAATGCAAAGCTGGTGAGCTTGGCGAAATTTATGTTAAGTAAGTTGTTTACATGTAAACTTTCTTTACAAATGTTTGAAACTTTGGCATGTTTAATTGCCAAGTTACATTGTTTAAAATTAAATTAAATGCTTAAAACATATGTTATCCTGGTGGTACAGAAATATAAATATATTCCTAATTATAATTTAGGCTGACTTTTATTATATGATTTTTTATTATATGATATGATTTAAGAAAAAAATGAAGAATAATGAAAGAAAAGATTGCTGCCCCATCCCAAACCCTCAGTCAATGTAGCAGCACTTTACTTACACTTTATCTAAACAATTTAAGCAATTTAAGTTTATATATATGTATATATATATATATATATATATATATATATATATATATATATATATATATATATATATATATATATATAAACTTAAAAGCAATTTAAGTTTATATATTAAATTTATATATATATATATATATATATATATATATATATATATATATATATATATATATATATTTATATATTAGGGCGTCCCAAGTTTACATTACAACAGGGCTGTATATAAACGTTAAAAAATGTTTATATAACCCTTACAACTTTATAACTTTGTTAAGGTATGACAAAAGAATTATTTTTGAAAAATAAGCTTATTGAGGCCACCACATGTCGGCGCAACATTTTTTTTTTTTCCCTCCTCTCTTACACGGAATTGCCCATATATATATATATATATATATATATATATATATATATATATATATATATATATATATATATATATATATATATATATATATATATATATATATATGTATATATATATATATATATATATATATATATATATATATATATATATATATATATATATATATATATATATATATATATATATATATGATATATATATATATATATATATATATATATATATATATATATATATATATATATATATATATATATATATATATATATATATATATGTATATATATATATATACATATAATCTATAAAAGTTAATCTATATAAGTTTTATATATATATATTTTATATATATATATATATATATATATATATATATATATATATTTATATATTAAGGTGTCCCAAGTTTACATTATTTTTTTGAATTTCTATGTGCACACAGTTTTTTCCTATTCTCTATTATCCTGATCACAAATATATATAAAAAAACATTTTCAGACCTCAATTTCAGTCACATGTAAAGTTTCATTTTTTGTTGAAATCGAAACTTTTACATTTTTCTAATAAAAATACAAATAGGTGTCTAGTAGTATTTATTTTTAATAAATTTCAACTAATTAAATTATCTAATAACTATTATTTATTATTTTTTATTAATTTATTATTTTTTATTAGTTTATTATTTTTTATTTATTTTTTATTTTTTATTATTTTTATTAATTTACTATTTTTCATTAATTTACTATTTATTATATAATAAGTTTAAATACAACTATTATGTTACATTATAACTGGGACTTATATTATACTATAACTGGGACTTGGAAAGATTTTTTTTAAGTTTATTTTTGTTATCCCTGGCCAGCAGCATTAAATTTTGTTGCTTATTGTCAGATTTAAATTTGTAAATCTAACAACTTTTTCTTTCCTCTACAGTTCTACTTCATCATCAGGGACTTCTCTAATTTTCAATAGAAGCTAATTTTCTGGACCTACCGGTTTTTAAAGCTCATTGTACTCCAATTGGCAGCTTAGGTTTTCCAATCTTGAACTTGTCAGGAAAGTCATACTGAACATTTTTTTAATCTAGAAAATCTTTTTTAAACTGTAAAGTCTACCCAACATTTTTTTCTTCACTACCAGCTCTACATCTTCATCAGCCACAAATAGCAGCACCAACTGCTCAGTCAAGTACCAGTTATATCTTTGCATACTAGCAACCAATACTGAACCTAGGTTGAAACATTTATCTTTGATGCATTCTTAAAAGCAGCAAGATCATTTGAGAGTGAATTTGAAAAACGACTTTAGAAACCAAGGTGCATACCAGACAGATGTGAGGAAAGCTGCTATCTCTATCATCTTTCTTTCCACTTTGCTCATAATCACGGTGATCTTATCTCTTATTCTCAGGGTAAGAATGTATAAAGCATCAGCCATAAACCTAAAGAGTAAGATTTGCTCACCATTAGTATTTATTTGTTATATTTTTTTATTTATGTTATTTATTATACTTACACATTTATTTTTTCAATATACTGTATTTAGCTTCACAGTAGGCTCCAGGTTGATGAAAACAAAATCCAGGTACTTCTCCTTCCAAAAAGAAAACAAAAAGTTTTTATAATTTCCTGTAATCACTCCTGACAAATGTTTTTAGACAAGGGGTGAACCAGCCTGATGTTGACGAAAATCAAACCTAAACAGAAAATATTTGATCTACAATATTTGTAGATCAAATATTTTCTGCTTTCCCTAAGAGTAGTTATAATTTCTAGCCTGAGCTTATCTCAATCTTCATGAATCTCTTTCTATGGACTGAAATTCTTGATAGATTAATATCTTCTAGCTTCACACCATCTTAATTGGAAATAGCAGCTGCTACTGAAGTTTTTTTGTATATACCTACTCTGTATCAGGTATAAATTGCAGCATTACAGTCAACCAGATCTTCAGCACTTTTAGTAGAATGACTGAATCTATTAGGTAAGTCCTCATCATCTGGTGAATCTAAAATAAGTTCCAAATTAGAATCATTTCCAGATAAATAAAAAAAAAACTTCAAATTCATTGAATTTTATTGCATTCATTGTGATTCTACCTTTAATTGTGATTTTCTTCTTCCTCTTATGCTTAATTTTTTTTTTTTTAACTGAATTTTGTAATATACATGTTTCGCTCTCCTTTTTGATCTAGATAGAACTGAATATCCTTCTCTTTGGCATTCTCAGAACAAATAAAATCCTGATTTACTTTTTGTTCAAAACTTGAACAAAAAGTAAATCAGGATCATATTTGATCCTGATTATAGAGGAGAGAAGTTCATCATAGAAGTTTCTGTTGTTAGAGTTCCTGTTCAATGATTTAAAATGATGCAGATTTGTCTACTTATTATGGAGCTTCATTATCTTATCGTTGATAATAGTAATGATAATAGATTTACTAATGATAAAATCATTAAACCCAAGCGTCTATTACAACAGAGGCAACACATATTTGTTCAGAATTTTTTTGTTCAATATTTGTAATATTTGCTTATTCCTTTTTATTTTTACTTTTGAATTTTTTTCAATGAAGCAATTTACTCTTTTACATAAATTACATTTAGTTTCTCATTTGCAACACATTTGAGAATGCCACATAAAGTTTGCACAATATTTTGATACTTAATTATTAGACATGATGGTAAAATTAGTATAATTAAAAAAGAAAGAAATATATTTTTAATGTATTGTAATTTCAATTATATTTCCGTATTTAAAAAAATATTAAGTATAAATATGCAAGTTATGCAGAGCAATTTTATTTCAGAGACCAGAAGTTTCTAAGACCTCTTATTTTGCAATTAGAGTCAGGCAATTTCAAAAATGAGTGATATATAACCCATGGTAACAAAACAAATGGTTTTTGTTATCATTATATTTTGAAATCAAAATATTTTTATCAAATATTTTGAATTGGGTTATTTTCTCTTTATCTTTGGATTCATAAAATTAGCCCATAAAATTTTTTTTTTTTGCCTAAATTTTAAAATGAGTTCTTTTTATTATACTTCAAGGGAGCAAAACTTTTTCATTAAGTTAATTTAAGATTTCCTCTTTCATTTGATAAAAAAATTGAATTCATGAGACTAGGGCAACTCTGTGAGATTGTAAAAGCGCAACCAATGGTAACAGAACAGGAACATTGATTATCCATTTTAAAATCAAAAAATAACCATCAAAAATTAATTATTGGTTTTCTTTACATTTTTGAATTCAGCAAAAATAGTTGCATATCAATTTTTAGTCAAATTTTTATATAAAAAATAGCTAAAAAGTAGTTTTTGCATAATTTTGCATAGTTTTTGCATAATTTTGCACAGTTTTGCATAATTTTAAGACTTGTAAGACAATCTTTTAGTGTAGCAGATTTTTATGCAATTACAAAATTACATTAAACTATTAAAGTTAAAAATTTTAATTAGTTTGTTTATATTTGATTTCATTGGGATGTCATTAATTTCATTTTTGTTATACTTTTAGATTACCATTACCTCCTGGAGCAATGCAAACTTTATGGAACAATGACTCAAAATATGTTGAAACTTATTTCACTAAAGTATTAATTTTTTTTAAAGTTAAATTTTTTTTACAGAAAAATTAAGATCTTTTTGGTTAAGTTTAATTATTAAATTATTTTCAAAAATATTTTTATTGTTAAATTATTTTTCTATCTTAATTAAATTTAACATAAAAAACTCTCAATTGAATTTATAATTATTTTTTTTTAAAGTTCTTGTTTGCTAATTTTTTTAATTTCATTTTTTAAAGTTGCTATAGTACTTTTGTAATGCAATGGAATACATTATGTAATTTGTTTTTTACATATTTTTCGTAAATCATTTTTTCTCAGACTATTTTCATAGATTTCATAGATTTAAACCCTTTGGTTACTTTGGTTACAGGTTGTAAGGTTACTGATTGTATGGTTACTGATTGTATAGGAGCAGGTTGGGTTGCAACACTCATATTATTTAAGTTCAGAATATTGGTATAAATAGTTCATACCATTTAGTTGATATAAAATATAAATAAATAGTTCATACCAATTAGTTGATATAAAATAAAATTAGTTTTGTAGGGTAACAAAGTTTGTAGCTTTAGGGTGAAACAGAATTTAAACAGATCCATAAGTAACTGATCCATAAGTAACAGATCCATAAGTAACATATCCATAAGTAACAGATCCATAAGTTTGTTTGAAATTTAATAACTCTAACTAAACTATACTGAAGAGGAAAATTGTGTAATAATAAATAATAAAAGTTTAAAATTATATTAAATTTTATTTAGGGTTACTACATGACAATGGATACTGGCAAGGTTGATGATAATGGCTACATACATATTGGAGGACGTATTGATGATATTATTAATGTAGCAGGTCATAGGTTGTCAACAAAGCAAATGGAAATGGTATTCAAAAGTTTGTTGTTGTTTAAACTTTTTATTATTAAAAATATTTGTTATATCTTTACAAATTATTTTTGCTTTCTAAAATTAAAAAAAATTATTACTAAATCCCCTCACATTAATGTTTTTTAAATTTGGTATCAAGTTGTTACTATTGAATATATAAATGATTTTGGATCTTGGTCACTCTTTAAGTTAAGTAGTATATAAGAAGATAAGATATATAAGTTATTTGAAGAAGATAAAGAAGATAGTTAAAGAGCAAAATAAAAGCCAAATATGAAAAGCTACAAATTATTTAAATCAGGAAAACAATTCCAGAATTTCAAACTGACTAAATCATGAGTCACAGACAAAAAAAAGCAAAAATAATTGCAATTGAAAATAATAATAACTCAAAAAGAAGAAAAAGAACTTCACAAGAAGAAAAAAGCTATGAAGTGGAATTTTAATTTGAATTTATAAAAAAAGAATAAAAGTTTATATGCCTGTTTGAATCCAAGGGATCATTTAAAAGTTACACTTGTCAACAGAGATACAGAATACATTTCAAAACAAGATTTCTGTCAACAGAGAGACAAGCATTCCCAGGCAAGATTTTTGTCAACAGAGACACAGAAGATTTTTCAAGCAAGATTTTTGTCAACAGAGACACAGAAGATAATCGTAAGCAAGATTTCTGTCAACAGAGATTTCTGATACTATTTTATTCCTTCTCATTGGTTCAAAGCCAAGGCAAAGCTTCATTTCTATCCCATGGTTTTCACCTTCTTGTGCAGCTGCTATATCAATCCTAATGATTTTTTTCTGCTTTTTCAAAAGAACAACTCTCTTGAGAACAAACAGCACTTTATTATTGTAATAAATCAATGGAAAAAGGTGCTGTCTGATGCTAAGTTCCATTATTCTCAGTTCATTATTCTCAGTTATGTATCTTATCTGATAACCTTAATGATCTTACCTGATAACTCTATCTGCTGATGACTCAACTTAATGTTTTTTTTTTTTTTGTTATTTAGGTGACCCAAGAAGAATTAACGGTCTTATCACAGAGCACCGCGGATGTGCATTTAACTAGGAAGTTCATGCCTCTTTCTTTACGAAAACATGTCCAGAAAAAATTACACGAAAATATGTCCAGGGCTCAATTCGAATCTGGATCTCCTGCTTATAAAGCAAGTGCTATAACCACTGCACCACGGCCGCACAATATAATTCTGTCTTGACAAAAAGTCTTCTCTTTTTGAGCTCGCAGTAGCAGTGTAAATTTTAACTCCAACAAAATTTAGTTATTTACTGCAAACAACTCTCGAAATACTGTCAACATTTCTATATTAATGAATGACAAATCTCTCACTAACCTCTTCTTTACATATTCTTGGATTATCATTTACTACTGAACTTTCATGGAAACCATTCAATTGATTGCATCTGCCAAGGTTGCTCCTCTCTATCATGCATTTTACTCCCAATTCCTTTCTCTACCTCAACAAATCTCTTTTTTGTGCCTGTATGGAATAATGTTATCATAAAGTCCATAAACGCATTGTAAATGTAGTTGGACTTTATGACAACATTACATTAAGATAACCACTCTGCTATCTACATATCTGCTAAGCTTGAGTCTTTTTTCTATCAATGTAAAGTTGTATCTATTTTACAAATACTATCATGGTTGCTGCTCAAAGGTGTTCCATCAACTCAATCTCTAGTTCCATCAACTTAAACTCATTCTTGCTTGACTCATCATTCAGCAAAGTCTCATTCGTTTACTGTATCCCCACACTTCAACCTTTGGAACTCTCTCCCATCTTCATGTTTTACTGACTCATACAACTTCCCACTTTTCAAGTCTTCTGTCAAACGTTTCCTTGCTCTATAAATTTGTTCTTTTTTTTTCTAGTAACTGCCAACTTAACAGTGGTTGCTTGCAGCCTTGTTGAGAGTAAATTAGAATAAAAGATTCAGGATTTATCATCCTAAGCAGTAAATATTTTAGTACATGTTTTCATCTATGCTAGCTTACTTGATGCGGATGTGATGTCAAACTGGTTGTCAGGGAATATATGTTTTCTCTTTGTCTTTGCCTGTAGTACCTTTTTTAAACTTATTTTGTACCTTAAAAGCAGCAGTAGTAGAAGTTGTTATCGATACAAAAAAATACATCTTTAGCTTAACTTCAACCAAAGGCTTCTCTTGGGTAAAATTTAATGTTTAATTTTTAAATTAATGTCCTATTTCCATTAAACAAAAAAACAACTCTTTTCATGATTATTCAGGAAAATCATATTGTTTTGGTGATTTTCATTAGATTTTAAAATTTTATTATAAAGAATCCATGAATTTGTCAATTTCTTCACTGAATTTCTAAAAAAAAGTGTATATATAATTTCTTAAGTATAATTTTGTGCCTAGCAATTATAACATCCTTGAAATCATCACCTGCCATGAGATAATAGTACTCTTAAATGAGAAATAAACAATTTTTTTTTTGTCGAAGTGGTTTTTTGTTGAATTTTTTTGTTGAAGTGGTCGTTTATACTATTTTCTTGTTTCATTGAAATCTATTTCTTTAAATAATGAATGAGTTTGGTAGAACATAACTGTTCATCTACTGGCAATTGAGCTTTCAGAGAAACAACAGAGTTTACATTTTTGATAATTAAGTGTTTTGCATTGTCATGAGAAAGATTTTTGTGAGTTAAATGGATATCTTTATCATTATATTTAATTAATAAATAAATTAGCAAATTTTTTCAAGTCCTTTAAATGTCATACAGTTTACATTAATGCTAACCTAAAACTCTGGGGACCAATAAGATTGCACATTAATTATAGTATAGACATGTAAATAATAAAATTGTTTCAGTACTGATTACTTACTTTTGTCATCAAATTTAATTCATTTACAATTTTTTTCAGCAACTCGCCTTAAAAAAGCTGTTGAAAAACTTTTTAGGTTGGGCTCATATTATAAAATGCACTTGGAAGACTACCATTCCCATTGTTTTTTATTTTTTATTTTTAAAAAGTTGTTATAATTGTATTGCATAAAAATGAAATTTGTTATTTTAACTTAAGATCAGCTTTTTAACAAAGCATAACAGATATTACATCTGTAATCTTATTCTTTTTAATTCCTTCATCAGTTTGTAATAAATTTTAATAAGTATTACTGTAGTTTTTTCATCAGGTTGTTATAAATTTTAAAAACGATACTGTAATAACTAATGTTCACTCATCTTTTATTAGGCTATTGGAAAACATCCTGATGTTTCTGAGCAAGTTGTATTGGGGATGAATGACTCCATAAAAGGTGTTGTTCCTGTTGGATTGATAGTATTGAAAAAACGTATGCTTTTTTCTTTCTTTTTTTTTTGTTTCTTTATTAAGTTTTACCGTATTTAAAAGTTTGAAAAAAAAGGATTGTCTAATTATCTAAATTTTTTCTTAAAAGTTTAGAAAATCAAGTTATATACGGGTGCAAATCAGGTGGTTTACTATTAAATAACAAATAAATAAAACTTAATGTTTAATAAATAAATAAAACTTAATGTTTAATAAATAAATAAAACTCAATGTTTAATAAATAAATAAAACTTTATTTTTAATAAATAAATAAAACTTAATGTTTAATAAATAAATAAAAGTTAATGTTTAATAAATAAATAAATAGGTTTTATGTTTACTAGCATTTTTTTTATGTCTGATATTTATTTTTTTGTATTATTATGTATTGATTATTTTGTTTTATATCTACTGGCTGATTTATATTTTGTCTACTGAGTGATTTTTTTTTTTGTTCCAACAATTCTGCAACCACTAATTAATTTGGGTGTTATTAAAAAATAAACTATATGAGTCAGAAAAAAGTAAAGAAGAGTGTTTGCACCTATTGAAATAAAAATTAGATGAATGATTTTTCTTTTAAGCACATTCAAACAGTTACTGTAAAAGTGTAAAATTTTGTTAAAAAAACGAATTGCACAAAATTGAATTTTAGTAGGTGGAATAAAAGATTTTATTTATCACAAAAAACAACCAACAAACAAATGTTAATGTTTATAGAAAAAAGAAAGGAATGCAAGTTTTCAAAGGTATGACAGAGGCTTAAGCTTTGCTGTTAGAGCAGGCTTCTATATTTACAATGGGTTTTTGCATTTCACAAAAAACTCAGTAATTACCATATTATCATTTATAATTATCATTTAATGAGTAATTAACATAGTATTTATTAGTGATTATTTATTTTACATTATTTGACATTATGGCAACAATTATTAGGGTTAAAATTCACTATTAGCCCCATGATCACATTTGTTGTGGGCTGTCTTTTTTAACCAACTAAAAATGGAAAAAGTTTAAACTGCTTTTAAAATATAATTGCAGAGAGTTCTGGAGAAAAGCCTTGGCAAGATAGTAACAGGTTTTCTGGACCAAAAAAAAGTTAAAATTCTAAACCTTTAAAAAAGTTCAAGTGAGAAACTTTGTCAATGGAAGATTGAGTAGATGTCTAGCAATAGATTAGATCATTCATAAATTAGGTCACAGAATTTTTAATGAGTTTTAAACTCTCCTTCCCCCTCACCCTTCCTCCTACAACTATCTTTAGATATCATTGACTGATATAGCTGTAGGTGCAGTACAGTGTATATTCATCAACTGGTTTTAATAGGCCAGGCACTTTTTTAATAAATAGAAATGTTTCTAGATTTAAAACAAAAAAATCTAAACAGTTGTTGTGTCACTTGTTTGTGTCAAATCAGATACCCTCTCTCTCCCCTTTGTAACATCATTAAAATTGCTAACCACTCTTTTCTCCCACCCCACCTTTCTTTATTGCATGACAATTTGTGGATGTTATTATGTTTTGTCTGGGACATCTTGAGGAATGTGGATATTAGATTGTTGAAAAATTTCAAATATTTCTATTTTGTCTTTAAAAAAGGGAATATATAACAGGTCAATAAAAAAAAACAAATTTCTAATGCCAAGCAAACAATTTGTTTTTTTGTATAGTATTTCTATAGTATTTGGATAGTATTTCTCATTTTGATTTCAAATATGCAATTCATTTTTCACCATCATGTCAAGTTGTAAAGATATTTGGGTTCAAATCTTTAGCATTATGCATAAAATCCCTAACATTGTCAAAAAAATTTGTTCAAAAGTATGTAAACCTGGGTCTCAAAAAAAAAACGTATTTTCATAGAGATTTTAAAAATAATATTTGTTTGTAATAAAAATAAGTACTTTTTGTATTTTTGCTGAAAATCATTGTGTTAAAATTTTTAAAGAATCATTTTTTCACATAATTTTTTGTCAATAAATTTTAAGGAAAAATATTTGTTTAATATTCCATTTTCCAAAAACTTTGCTTTTTAAAAAAATGTTTTGTTTAATGAATAATTTTTAAATGAATTTTCTAATTTTTTTTTAATTTTTAATATGCATTATATATATATATATATATATATATATATATATATATATATATATATATATATATATATATATATATATATATATATATATATATATATATATATATATATATATATACATATATACATAAAATTTAAGTGACATCTATAATAAACCAATCACTCCCTTCACAAATATGAGTTTTCCATACACCTTAAAGATGCAATTACAAACGTACTTATAAAACCGAAATCATCTATTTCACCAAATATCGCAGTTGGTATTTTTTAAGGTTTTTTAGTTCGAGCATACAAAATTTGTTCAGAACATAACATTCAAGATGAAATTAGTTTGCTTATTAAGATTTTTACTGAAAATGGGCATTCCTATAAACAGTATTCAGATATTGCTAATAATTATAAATATTCCACAAATCCATCTTGTTTTCAAAAAGTTGATATCAAAAATCTTGTTATTTGACCATGGGTCCCAAAATTAAGCCTTCTTATTAGAAAAGAATTTCGTAAAGTTGGCTTTAAATCAGTCTTTCGTTTTGGTAATCCATTGATCATAATACTTTGCCGAAAACAAGTCTAAACTGCCTCCAAATAGTCATACAGGAGTGTGCCAACTTCATTGCCTATGTTGTGCATGTTATATTGGGGAAACAAGAAAAAAGATTTTAAAAGATTAAAGCAGGTTTGCAAGATTAAAAAAAAAATTTAAAGTTTAGATTTAAAGATTAAAAAAAAAATTTAAAAAAATCTTAGTATAACTAGTGTAATAACACATATTTTACAGCATCATATCTGTCATTTATTCTATTCTTGATTGTCTGTGCAGGTATGTTTTTTTTATACTTGTCTTTGTCCATGAAAAATGATTATTTTTCGACATCAGCAACAGCGGCCGTAATATTTCATTGGTCTTTTCTTGGAGTTCATAGTGGCTTGAGAGTAACAACTTAATTAAAAAATTATAATATGACATATAATCATTCAGTTTTTTCAAGTGCAAATTTAATTTCAAGTACTAATTTGGTTAAAAGAATTCAAATCACGCAGATAAGCAGCTGTTTAGTTTTAATTTTTTCTTTTGTTTTGTTTTGTCCTTAGAACGTCATTAGCAACCATAACATTTCTTTTTTAATTTTTTAAATCCACAAAAGCAATCAAAAACATCGTTATGTAAAAATTGAAAAATCCACGAAATTTAATACTTTGGAATTAAATTTGGGGCAGATTTTTTAATATCAAATTATTTGCAAATTATGAAATATGTTTTTTATTTTTTTACTATTATTAACTGAAGCGTAATTATTAACTGAAACGTAAAACAATACTTTTATAAAATTAAAGACAGTCTGATTTTTTTGATCCCAAAGGCTGTCTGCGCGAAATTCGATGCTGCCTGAAAATCATATTGTTGTAAAATGAAGAGAAAAAATGAAGAGTAAACCAAGATAAAGTCAATATTATCTTTATATAAATGACATTTGTAAGAAATTATTTAAATTTATAAATGTATTTTACCAGGATTCATTTTAGTATTGACTCAGCTTAACAAAAGTTTTTAACAAATTCTTGTTAAAATATTATAACAAGGTTTATTAAAAATATCCATATAAGGGTTCTCTTTGGTTCTATTTGCCCTCTCTTCTTTTCTTTTTTTTAGTATTTCATTTCTATTTATTTTTTTATAATGATTAGAGATGGTTAGGTTGATTTAATATTTTGACAATATGAAACATAGATACACTTCTTCTTTTTCTTTTTCTTCTTCGTCTTCGTCTTCTTCTTCTACTTCTTCTTTTACTTCTTCTTTTTCTTCTTCTTATGCTTCTTCTTATTCTTCTGCTTCTTCTTTTACTTCTTCTTTTTTTCTTCTTCTGTCTTCCTCTTCTTTTTCATAGATTCAATCTTATTTATCCATAACTAATCTGTGAATCAGAAAAGTTTTTTCATGTTATCTATTTATTTTTAATTAAAGTTTTTCTTTAGATTGCACAAAATCAAATGATGATGTTATAAAAGAAGTAATTGCTTTGGTACGCAATGATGTTGGACCAGTTGCAGCCCTAAAAAAAGTAGTAGTTTTACCGACACTTCCAAAAGTAAATTTTTCATATTTTTTTGTACTATTTAATATGACACTATTTTATAATACTTTGTTCAAATATCCATTGTGTTTTTTTAAACACAAAGTATCATATGATTTATTATTGTTTTTCGAGTTAGCAAGTCCTTTAGTTAAGTTTTAGCAAGTTCTTTAGTTACAACTAAACAAGTCATGTCATCAAGTCTGTAAGTTGCAAGTCAGTTTTAATTCTGTAAATAAGCAAGTTATATGTAAAGTTGTTTTTGAATCAATATTTTTTTGCCACAATTATAGACGCGAGCTGGTAAGTTTGTTCGTGGTGTGTTGAAGAAAATACTTAACGGTGAAGAATATCAGGTACAAAAACTGCATATGAAAAATTTCTTCCTTGTTTATCAGTTTTCTTTTTATCGTTGTTTTTAGTTTGAAATGGTTCACAGCTTTTCTTAAATTTTGTTTACTTGAATTTTGATGATTTCAAAAATTAATGATTTGGATTTTCATGGCGTTGCGTCAGTTTTGATGACTTGAAAGTTTATGGTTGTTGTTAACTTTTATAAATCTGAAGATTTCATAAAATATTCTATAAATCTAAATATTTCATAAAACATTTTTTCTTCATTTTTTAGGTTCCTCTAACATTGGATAACGTTGATGATTTTCACGAAATCGAATCTATATTAAAAAATTACAAAAATTAAATAAAGTGCTTTTAAAAAATATGCCATTTACATTAATTTTTTTTTTAATAATTAAGTTTGTGAAAAGAATGTAACTTTTTTTTAATCTGAATTCTCATAGTTCAGATAAAAAACTTTGAAGATGTTTGAACTGCGCAGCTCAAAACCTTACGCGGTGCTCCTTTTTTCTTTACACATTCTTTAACATCTGTTAGCTATTATGCAGCGACTGTTTAAGAAAACGTGAACAAAACAGATATGATTGAGTAGAATTCCATTTTACATTTATGACTCTGTGTAGATAAAAAATGTTCATTCGGGTTGATGTACACATTATACATGATTTATTAAATTAGTATACATTATACATGTATATATACATGTATTAATATATATTTATATAATACATGTATTGTATTACATATATATTGTAAAACATGTATATATATATATATATATTATATATATATATATATATATATATATATATATATATATATATATATATATATATATATATATATATATATATATACATTATTCAATAATGTATACATGATATATGAAAATTACTTAAAAACCAAGAATTGTCAAAAAAAGTGAGATAATCCATTTTGAAATGGATTAAATCACTTTTGAAAAATAAAAATTTTCTCGGATTATATTTTAAGCAATAACGTATAAATATAACTAGATGCGTGACTTTAGTTAAAAAGTGAAGCCAGCCTCCGCCATCTTGCGGTACGGCAAAAATCTTAAATACTGAAAGCGTTACATAGGGATATATGACTAATTTAAACTGGATATAAGTTCTCAAAGAGGTTTTAACTGTTAAATATTTAAAAGCAGCTACCTCTTTTTGAAGAATTGCAGAGTTATGGTTATTTCGTGCTGTGGATATGGATGCACAAATCGCCAAAAACAAAAATAAGGCGTGTCGTTTCACAGGTATGATGAAACATTGATAATTAAAGTTTATATTATTAATTGTGTAAGTTATTACCAGGCATATTAATAATTCTTTATTTTTGTATACTATTTATTATTTAATTTATTTTGTGCAATTATATTAGGAAGTCATTATTTGTACGTGCATGCAAATAATGTTTACATTATAAAAATTTTATTTGTATATTAAAATACTTTTATTTTATAACGATAAATATTCGCGTACTTTTGTGGATGTGAAAAATGTCATTTTTCGAGGTGCAGCCGACAGGGGTTGAAGGTTCGAATCTTTATTTAGGATTTTTTCTCTTTTTTTAATTTTAATATCTAAGTAATTTTATTTAGTTTTAATTTTTAAGTAGTTTTATGTTTTTTAAATATAGTTGTTATTTATATATATAGTTAAGTTCATTATTTATTTTTATTTCTCAAAGTTTCATTGAATAAGTGCAAAATCCGTACATAAATTGACTGATTTAGATGTAGTCGCATCATTTTTATGATGATTTACTTGTTGATCATTTTTATGAGAACTTACATTTTATAAAAAATTGCTGCTGGATTTTTAACAATTAGACTCAAAACGTCAAAAATATTACCTCGAACTTATTTAAGGAATAAAAGCAGGTATTCGACTTGCTTAAAAAAGAGCCTTTTTTCTTAAAGGGCTTTAAAAATTTACAGGTTTTGATTCATGCCTACTTTTATTAAAATATTTTTAAATGTTCTTTTTATTACTATACTTATACTTGTACTGTTTTATTTTAGATTTTCTACTGTTTAAATATGATTTTAATTTTGTAAATTTTCATGATTTGAAATATGCTTTATTAATCATTATAGGTGCCTAAAGAACCTTAAACATTTAACGGATCCCCTATCATCAACATTTCAAATATAAGTCATGTCTGGTCTCAAATAAAACTATGTATATATAATAATATTATATATACATAGTTTTATATATATATATATATATATATATATATATATATATATATATATATATATATATATATATATATATATATATTAGGTTGGCAACTAACTAATTGCGGATTTTTTTTAGAAAATAAAAGACAATTTTTTAATGGAACGAAGTAACTTTTCTGTAATGGATAGTCCGTTTTGAGCAACCTTTTACCATCTTTCTGGCATCATAATTCCACGTTCATAAAACTTCTAGTTATGATCAGCAAAAATTTGAACCAGATTTGACAATCATCATCATTATTGAAATTTTTACATTTTGAGTGAGTTTTGTGTGTTTTTTTTTGTAAAGATCGAAAAAAAAAGTAATCAGATGGTACAATAGGACTATATGGTGGATGTGGCAAAACATTCCAACCAAGCTCCAATAATTTTTGCCGAGTGACCAAAGATGTGTGTGGCCTTGCATTGTCATGATGGAATACAACACCTTTTCGATTTGTCAATTCGGGCCGCTTTTCTTCAACTGCATTGTTCTACTTTGTTAGTTGTTCAATGCAGACATCTGAATTGGTCGTTCGGTTGAGTGGTAAAAGTTCAAAGTAGACAATTCTTTTGTAGTCTTACCAAACTGAAAACATAACTTTCTTTTGATCAATATCAGCTTTTGATATTGTTTGAGCTGTTTCACCACGATCTTTTCGTTTGTTGTAAACAACCCATTTTTCATCACCAGTTATCAATCGTTTTAAAAATGGATTATTTTCATTACATTTCTTTAACAAATCGCAGATGTTAATGCGTTATATTAAATGATTTTCTTTCGGTTCATGAGGAACCCATATAACAAGTTTAGGTACATAGCAAAGTTGTTTTAAGCAATTTTCAATGTGATACATGAAGCTTCTCTGCAATCTGACGAGTTGTACAGTGACAATTTGAATCTATTATTACTTTGATTTAGTCATCATCAACTTCAACTGAACAACCAAAGCGTTTTTCATCTTTGAGTGAAAAATCACCTGAACAAAATTTGGCAAACCAATTTTGACATTGCCGTTCTTAGTCACCATAAACAGGACATAACTTTTAGTGAGCTTGCGATGCTTTTTTTCTTTCCGGAAATAAAAAAGTAAAATATGACGAAAATGTTCGTTCTGATTTTCCATTTTTCAACAGTTAAAAATAAATTTTTTAATGATTGACAGTTGAAGTACCAACTATCAAATAACAAAATGTGTTTGACATATCGATTACGTCAGCGAATCTAAAAATTCAATTCAAGGCATCTATGAGTGAAATCCGCAATTACTTAGATGCGCTGTGGCACAGCGGTTAGAGCGCGTGCTTTATAAGCAGGAGATCCAGGTTCGAAACGAGGTTTGGGCACATTTCGCGTCACGGTAAGGAAGGAGGTGTAAATTTTCTGGTTAAATGCACTTCCACGGTGCTCTGTTAGGATGCCACAAGACTGTTAGGATTTCCTAAATAACAAATGAATAAAAAAAATATATATGTATTATATATATTATATATATATATATATATATATATATATATATATATATATATATATAAATTAAATTATATATATATAAATTAAATTTGATTAATTAAGCATTTATAGAGAATTAATTTATACTATATTTTCAATTTATATATATATATATATATATATATATATATATATATATATATAAATTGAAAATATAGTATAAATTAATTCTCTATAAATGCTTAATTAATCAAATTTAATTTATTTAAAGTAATTAAAAATTTATCAAAATTTCATGACTAATTATTTTTTATATGATTTTTAGATGAATTTTTTTAGTTTTTATAGAATGTTTTTTTATTTTTATAGTTATTTAGTTGAATGTTTTTATAGTCGCGTCTTAAGTTTTTGCCGTACCGCAAAATGGCGGACGCTGGCTTCACAAAGTTACGCAAAAAGCTGCAAGTCACGCATCACGAGTCACGCAATATTTATACGTCATTGATTTTAAGCAACGGAAGCTAATTTATTTCATGACACTGGCAACCCCTTATTTATGGTGTTTTTGGTCTATTTAAAATATCTTTTTGAAATGATTTACATTTAATGCTTTACATTTTATCCGATGACAATATATTTTTTCTAGTGGTTTAAAAATTCATACGTTCTTGCCACAAAACACCGCAAAAAATACTGTCTAAGTACATAAATCCGCCATTTTGGGACTTTTAAAAAAACACTCAAAGCAAAAATCGAAAATCAAATTCAAAACTTTTCTTTAAAATTAACTTACCCTCGAAGGATAAAATTTATAATTTCTAGAAGAAATATCTACCACGGCATTTTCGACTCTTTAACAACGAGAACAGTGAGATAAAATTGTGGGTATTTTAACAACGAGAACAGTGAGATAAAATGGTAGGTATTTTAACAACGAGAACAGTGAGATAAAATGGTGGGTATTTTAACAACGAGAACAGTGAGATAAAATGGTGGGTATTTTAACAACGAGAACAGTGAGATAAAATGGTGGGTATTTTAACAACGAGAACAGTGAGATAAAATGGTGGGTATTTTAACAACGAGAACAGTGAGATAAAATGGTGGGTATTTTATCAACGAGAACAGTGAGATAAAATGGTGGGTAATTTAGGTCATGAGAAAAGCAGAATGTTGTGTTAAGTATCATTATTCAAACTGTACACAATGGGCCGGACGTAAGACATAGTGGAAAATATTATTTTGATCTTTTTTTTTTACTAAAACCCTTTATATGTCCAAAGAATCACTTTGTATTAAGATATATTTATTTTAATTAAATAGTTGCTAATACTAACAACTTTATAAAACCTTAAAAACGCGGAATTATAATTATATTTTTAATTTCAAATTCCATAACTTCTTAAAACCGTGGAACTCAATAACTAACTCTTCTGGTGGAATAAAAATAAAAAAAAAACTGATGCAACAAACTTTAAAAATATAAATCCACAGAAAAAATAAAAATTTATCACCAGATTTGAAACTCTATTATCGATATTATTGTATATTAGATTTGAAATATATCGATAAATATAAAGAAATACATAGAAAATATAAATGAATATGAGTTTGAAACTCTATTATTGATATTATTATATGTCCACGATGTTTTTAATAAGTCTGTAGATTATTTATCCTCTCT